TTTATATAATCTTAAGAGTTAAAACTTAATGGTGAAGAGATTTGAAAATCGAACCTTTTTCCAAGAGAATTGATTTCCGAAAACAATGCAACAAACACATGATCCTAATAAATTGTCCAGATGATTAATACATGCCATTGATCTTCATTTAAGATTTTAATGGAACAAAATAGATTAGGATGGAATGATACCAACAGATTTATTTGGACATTTGGTGTTTATGATGTTGATAAAAACGATCAACTTCGACTATTTATAGATAAACCTAAGAACGGATCATTAACAGTAGGACCACCTCATGAAGAGAGTCCTGATTGTGTTGATCAAACAACGGTAGGTTTTCAGAAAAAATTGTTCAAGCATTATCTGGAGGAATATGTAAAATCCAATATCGAATGATATGCAATGTCGGGAGAATGGAATTACATGCCTTTAACGTTGCAGTGAACCAGTAAATTAGAGGTGCTTTCCTGGCATTAGATTTGTCCCCTAATACACGTTGAGTGTTATTGGATTAAAAATATTGTAGAGCCAGCAGACCTGGGGTGAGCATACGTCGGGGCGAACATGAAATAGGTCGAAAATAAATAGGGGACCCGAATTCCGCTATACTAAGTATAACAAGTGGAAAGGATCAGTGGTTCAACTGTGAAATTTGTTAATGTTTTATACTTCAGGAATCAAGTCTACCATGTAACAGAATGTCTCTACCCCACCCTGTCAACCAAATGAAATGGTTATATCACACCATGACGTATGAACCTGAAGAAGGAGTATCTGGTTATGACGACATAAGGATGTTTATAACTGATGATACCGGAACCAGTTCTGATGTTGTCAGTATTAGAATGGCCATGATGATGATGCCTTGTCTGAATGGAGGAACTTGTCAACCAAAATGTAAGTTTCGATGACAATTGACAAGTCTTCAAAAGACAAATTTATGAATTTGTTCTACAAAATCATGGTCACTATAACAAATGCTCACCGATGCTCCAAAACTTTTTAAGAAAAAAAGCAGTAGAATATTTATATAATTCAATATGAACTTTTTGCTATCAAGTATATGATATCTCGTTCTTAAAAGTAAAGCTTTAACTTTGAAAAAATAATTACTGTCTGTTAAGCAGGATTTTTTATTTTTCTAGCTACTGATGCCGCATATACTTGTGGGAATTATCGTCGAGCTGAAAGTTTTGATGATTATTATTCGTGTAAATGTACAGATGGTTGGGTTGGTTCAAGATGTCAGGACGACTATGATGAATGTACAAGTTCTCCATGTAGCTGGCCGTATGTTTGTTATAACTATGAGAATCGCTATGAATGTGCCTGTTCTCAAGATGAACCTGACTGTGATGGACTGGTTGGTTGGATGATTGCTCTGATAGTTATTGCTGTATTATTGGTGATGGTAATTTGTATGTTGATTTGTTACATCTGGTTTGTCAGGAAAGGGTAAGTGCAGCATTTACAGGTATGTTCTCAATCATCCTTGATTACCCGTGTTTGTTATTACATTGACGAGTTGCATGTTGTAGAGCGGTTAAGGGCTGCATTTACAGGTATGTTCTTAATCATGTGCATCCTGGATCTGTGTTTGAAAATTACATTGACGAGTCGCCATGTTTTAGAACGGTTTAGAACTGAGTAAACAAACATTATCCGTACAACGTATTTTTCTACATATTTCGAGGTATCTGAATTTTCAGGCAGTTAGTAGACTAGTGAAAAAAATGTAAAAAAAAAATGAAATTCCTAGTTTTAGGTTTTTTGTTTAAAAGGAAATATGGGTTTTTAACTTTTTCCCCATTTTCAAGGAACCCCATGGCCCCCCCCCCCCCCCCCCCCAAAAAAAAAATAATGGTGAACTAAGACCTTTCAATTCACCAATTTAAAATTTCCAACAATGATTAACCAGCTGACAAGGTAGGGCAATCCTAATCTTCTATGTTGTGGGGTTGAGATTGTTATGTGATTTTGGCATTTTCATTACAGACGTGGAAATTGGTTTAAGGCCGCAAATCGTTTTAAAGAAAATAAGAAAAGTCATATGGTGTTTGATAATAGTGCTTATACTTTAGATGTAAATACGTTTCTACTTTCAATTTTTTAAGATACACAAAGAGCAAGACAAAACCTTTATGAATGTATTCGTTTCGCTAATGAAACTGATTTCTAACACACGTCTCTGCTAAAAAACAAAAAAAAACACACAGAATTTGCAAATGAATTTAAATTCACAAATATTCAGTTTTATTTTCATCTTTTTCAGAATGAAGAAGTTTCTAACAGAGTAAGTGAACTTATTTGCCTTAATATTTTCTTGCTCATTCAAGATTTTTAACTTTATCATTAACTATGCTTCGTTAAAACATGGAAGTAAAGGGTTTCAGATCTCAATATTCACTTTGAAGTCTATTGTAACTATTTCAGAGATTTTATAAACATTGACTTTTTTAGCAGATTAAATCTAAAACAAGTGGACAATATGTATTATCAATAATGGCAGCTCAAACGTTTCAAAAATACAATATTCTTATGATTGTAAAGATGCATGCGCCGATGTCAATTCACACCCTTTTCATCCATATGTCAACAAGAGTCATTGTCCATCTGTATGTCAACAAGCGTCGTTATCCATCCATATGTCAACATGCGTTTCCGTCTATTGTATTTTAAAATGCTTAACTGTCGATCCATACGTCGTTGTTCATCCATATGTCAACATGCGTTTCCGTCTATTGTATGTTAAAATGCTTTACTGTCGATCCATACGTCGTTGTTCATCCATATGTCAACATGCGTTTCCGTCTATTGTATGTTAAAATGCTTTACTGTCGATCCATACGTCGTTGTTCATCCATATGTCAACATGCGTTTCCGTCTATTGTATGTTAAAATGCTTTACTGTCGATCCATACGTCGTTGTTCATCCATATGTCAACATGCGTTTCCGTCTATTGTATGTTAAAATGCTTTACTGTCGATCCATACGTCGTTGTTCATCCATATGTCAACATGCGTTGCCGTCCATTGTATGTTAAACTGTTTTGCTGTCCATCCATATGTCAACATGCGTCGTAAACGTGTGTTGCAGTCTATACTTATGTCAATATACGATTCGTTT